AGAAAAAGAAGAGAAATTAGCCACAGCGCTTGCTGATTTGTTGAATTCGCAGAAAAGAGAGATAATAGGACGCACCTAGGGTAGCGCGTGCCTAATGATATCAATTTTTTTTCGGCTGTTATTTGTGTATATTTCGCCATTCTCGACATGGGCGTTGACGGACATTGCACCGCTGCTCACGCCCCTGCCGGGGTAAGCTTTTTTGTTGTCACGACACTCTATCGCGCTATAGACGCGTCGATTTAACGCTCATGAAGTCTCGAGAGAACTGTCAATTGTTTAGTCAGAGCAACGACGCAGCAATCGCGAAGTGAGAGACGACTGCGCCTAGCTCATTCTGATAAAATGTGAGCGTGGGACCCTCGAGCAGCGTTAACTTGCTGATGATGCAGGGCGCTGCTTTGTCGTTGAGAATCTTTGTCCTGCGAACGCCGGCGAAAACGTTCCAGTGCTCGGCGTACCCTAGGCAGCAGCGCCTGTCAGCGACCGCCCGGAGCCTACTGGCAGTCTGCGAGCGCCGACGATTTATCGCCGCGACTTCAATGGGAGCATTTTATGAACTCCTGCGGCGAACATGAAACACCGCGAACATGAACTTCCGCGAACATAATCCCCGCGACGGCGAACCGCCGGGGCTCGCAGACGGAGGGTTCCGATGCTGTGCGAACGGTTGTTGGAGGGCACTGCGTAGGGTATACGCCGGGCGCTGGAACGGCTTCGAAGCCATTCGATGGGCAAAGGATTCGCGACGACCAAGTAGTGTCTTGCATCTTCAGTAAGCTAACAGGGCTCGAGAGTCCCAAGCTTACATTTCCACAGAGCGAGCGCGGCCGGCCAGATCGAGGCGCAGTCAGCACTCGCGTCGCGATTGCTACGTCGTTGCTCTACCTACACCGATGACATGCGCACCGGCATTCGAAACCGCCCTCTCGAGACTTTATACGAGTCCAATAGACGGCTTTATAGCGCGATAAACCGTCGTGACAAGAGTAAAGCTCACCTCTGTAGTGGCATAAGCACCGTTCTTGACGCCGCGTCGAGAACGACGAAATATACACAAAAAACATTAAATATATTTAACACAGCAGGCAGAAAGAAATAAAAACATGGCTGGGACACGGACAAAGTAGAAGGCGCGCTACGAAATACATATACTTACAAAATACACTGAAAACGACAGATAATTAGAGCTAAAAAACGGAAGATTGAGATGACGTCAACGCCGAAATAAGGCAATGCGCAGGGAAAGCAGCCGGCAAAACTGCAATAGTCCTATAGGCAGCTAAGGAAGCTTTTGTGATCGCGGGCGTATAGCCGCGCCGACGTACGCCCCGTTAACCTGGCTGAAGAAAATTCTCGCCCCGATCGAGCGCATGAATGACTCTCGTCCATTTTCGTACATCTGCAGTAAAAAAAAAAAAAAAAAAAAAAGAAGGGTCGCGGATCTATAGCCTAAGCAAACCATTGAGCCGACTAAAAAAATTGGATGGTCGCGAGTCTATAACTCGGGAGACATACATCCCTCTATAGCCGGCTAAAGCACATTGTAAGGTCGGAGGCTATAGCTTTGGTGACATAGAACACTATTGAGACGACTAAAGAAAATTCAATGGTCGCGATTCTATAGATCTAGGGACATACACCACTCTATAGTCGGCTAAAGCACATTGAATGGTCGGAGGCCTATAGCTTAGCTGACATAAACACTATAGAGACGGCTAAAGAAAGTTCGATGGTCGCGAGTCTATAGGTTTAGGGACATACACCACTCTATAGCCGGCTAAAGAACATTGAAAGGTCAGAGGCCTATAGCTTCGTTGACATAAAATGCCATAGAATCGGCTAAAGAAAATTCAATGGTCGCGATTCTATAGATTTAGGGATATACACCACTCTATAGCCGGCTAAAACACATTCAATAGTCGCGAATCTATAGCATCAAGGACATACATATGTCTATAGCTTGCTAAAGAATATTGAATAGTCGCGAGTCTATAGCTGCGTAGTCATAAATTATTCTATAGCCAGGTATAGAAATCGGAATGGTCGAGATTCTAGAGCTTTGAAGACATACATTCTTCTATAGGTGGGTATAGCGTGTTTTATGGTTTCTTATAGCTGACCATAGAGGGCCATAGAAGGTGATAGCTCTCCATAGGATTTTCCATAGACGTCCATAGACCATTTTTGTGTGGGAGCTTTGCCGTGGGTGACGTCGTCTGTATCAACGACTTGGCCGGCGTCCATGGGCTCGCCAGAAAGTTGCAGCCTAAATGGCGCGGTCCGCTTCGGGTCGTAGAAAAACTGTCGGAGGTCACCTTCCGAGTAAAAGATTCGTACAGGGGAGCAAAAAATAGTTCATGCTAATCGCCCTAAGCGATATAGTGCCGGAGGTGGTGACCGGGGTGACATTGGGCCTCTTCGGGGGCCGGGCATGCCGAATGATGTTGGGACTCCTACTGCCATGCCCGCCGTTCCAGAGCCCCACGGCCCGTGTCTAGCGGATGAGAACAGAGTGGATCCTGACGAGAAGAGATCAAATGATTTCATCATGCTGGCACTCTTAAAGGAGTTGTCTCACAGCTCGGCTGCTGCTCCTCCTAGAGCAAGCCAACCCGCGCGGGAACACCGCTATGCTTTGAGAAAATACGGACCAGTTGATCGACCTTAATGAACACACGTACGAGAAACCTGCGGGGCCCACCGGGTGGTGTGTAATCTGCGGGAACTTTCTTAGTGTGCTTCTTAGTGTGATATTCTTAGCGACCACGTGATGGTGTATTCTGTGCACTTTACCCAGTGTTTCGATAGGTATCCTATAGTGAGTTCATTACGGTCCGAAAACTGAGTGTCTTTATGAACCTGAACATGAACATCCCTTTAAGTTTTGTCAGGTGAATTTTGTGTAAGAGAAAATTCCTTTTTTGTGTGGGCGAGTGTGACGCAGTGTATTACAGACTCATTCGGTGCTGTGCGTGCGGGCAAGTGTGTGTGTGTGTGTGTATGTGTCCCACCGTGGCGTTCGCGCTAGATTACAAAGAATCCTCGCCTGGCGGCCAGAAAAGAAAGGAGAAAAAAGAAGAGGAATGACAGAAAAAGGGCGGTTAGCCATCGCAAGCCTTCAGACGGAGAACGTCGTAGCAGTTGTCTGTGTCGCGAACTCAAGCCGAGTTTAGATAAAGTTATTTGTGCCGGAACTAGTGCTGGGTACTCTCTCCTCAACGTCGGGCCCGACGACGGTGTGTGTGCAGCTCCTAACCAGAGTCTTCACAACGTCATCAGTAACGTCTTGAGTTGACGTCTTTGACGACGTCAACGGCGTCGGCATCGTCACTTGACCCCCCCCCCCCCGATGTCACGTGACCCCCCCCGATGTCACGTGACACTCCACGGTCACGTGACCCCCACAAGGTCACGAGACCCCCCAAGGTCACTTGACCCCCAGTGCCCTTCCCTCCTCCTCCTCAAGAGCTGCGCTCTAATTTGGCGTTACAGGGAGTTGTAAACGGCTTTCATTTTTTATGACCTTTTTGAAATAGCAAGAGTGCACGTGCATAGCTTCGATAGGCACTGAAGATACTCGAAAGTGGCGATTCCGAAAACTCCTCTCATGACTGTACGCTCCGGGAAGAAGGGGCATCAGCGGTACTTTGAAAATGATTTTCTGCTGCCTCCATGCACGAAATCGAAAAATATTTTTCGACATTGGACTTCCTGGCGCCCAGATTGAGCCGATTTAAGGTTGTTTCCTCAAATAGAAAATTGCTTCAGCTTCTTTTTAAAGACTTATCATCTTTAAGACCGCCATAGCTGAACACCTTTCTGATCCTTTCATTCGTGGTTTTTCTTATCCATTTTCTACACCTTCTGTAACTTCCTCCCGGACCCTGAAAGTATGGTTCAGGCTGGAACATAGCTCTTATTACAGGTTTTGTTCAGGGCCTGTTTCGCCAGCTATGCTACAAGATAACGTCCCTCTTTTCAAATCCAGTTTTAGGGGTTAGCGTTTGGTCCACGGCGAGAGCGATAGCATTCTCGGTTTCTGATTGGAGGTGACATCCCAGCGTTTTGCTCGAGGAGAGTTATCGTCCAATGATACATATTTAGTTGGTTCGCGAGTCTTTGGTGAGAACTACTCACTGGCACTCGGACGGTGACAGGGGTCGTGCGGTAATAATGTATTTGATCCAAGTGGGCATAGGAAAATTTGAGCTATGTACTGCAGCAGAGCTTAAGACTTGCAGGGGGAGCGGTCATTGCCGTTCGCATCGAAAGGTAGAGTACAGCAGAGCCTTATAGTTTCAGCTTGCGTCCCGTATCACTTGGTCGCGGCACTCGGCTTTTAGCAGACGGCTGCCTTTATTCCGGTCCGGTAACGGAACACGTGAAAGTATTTACTTGTTTTCTGTTTGTCTGCGAAGGACGCTTCGTAGCAGACGAATTCTATTGTTCACTTACGTTAGCAGACTGATCGTCCGCTGACGTTTTCTTGACTCGCTCCGTAAAGTTCCGGTCACACTGCTCGTACACCAAGCAAAAGGTAGTCTGCAAACACCGTCTGAGGCGCGTTTCTTTCTCGTGTCCTCTCATATTAGGCCAACCAAAACAGAATGCAAACGTGTTCGAAGCACACATATGTGTGCGCTTCGAACATGCCACCAGACAGTTTTGGTAGGCCCAATATGAGAGGACTGACGTAAAGGAACCAACGTTGGCAGTACACAGACATGCGACTGTTTACGACCGGTGTGGCTTGTGAAGCGTTTGTGACTGCTGATGACCGGCCGCTGCGGTGCCGGTCATGAGTATTCGCCAGTGTTTTAAGCATTTGCGGTCGTTGGAATGGCAGTCAGAAATGTGTAAACCTGCTTTTACTTGAGCAAACAATAAAGGAAACACAAATATGGCACATGCTACTTCACCACTTTAGAAACAAGACCACCTCCACACATTTTGGCACAATAAAGCAAAAGTTGGAGACACAAAACACTTGGTCCGCATTAAGAGATACTTACAGGGATTATACAGTTTTAATACAAAAAATGTATGAAAGCCTTCATTTGGCTTTGCGAGGAGGGGGGGAAACCGGTTAGCCGGCAAAGTAAGGAAAGGCAGAAAATGGAAAGTTCGCGCGCAGCAGGCTCAACTGTAGTCATGTCATTTGACCTGGCTCCGTCTTATTGGTGTAAAAACAAAATGTAGCCGAAGGGCCTTAAATCGCCGAAGGGGGCACTTGGCTGGTGACAGGCCGCCTTTGCAAAGCAGCGAAGCGTCGTTCACATCTGCGTCGAAATCCTTGCCGATTTTGATCTGCAATGTTTAGAAAGATGACGGTTAATAATCAGTCCAAAACGGAAAGCGGCCATACTTGTTTCTACCTTTTGCTAAACATATTCAGCAATACTTAAATTGGGTGCCAAAGTTAAAAACAGGTGTGGCAAGTGAAGTATAAAGAGTAAAATTAAGTTTTTCATTTGAGTGAGATGAGTATGCACTGGTCACCCCAACCAGGTAATGTTCAGAGCCAATCTAGCGTATCGGTACACGAGATTTATCATCCACTTCAACCCCTGATATATTATGCTGTGGTTGAAATCCTGTTGTCGTGAATTTTACACTCCGTATTCCGAAAACACGATGAGCATTAAAACTTGGTTAGGGGCTAAGGTGTATGAAGATGAGACCAATGAGATCTCTGATTAATGAGGTTGAACGGACAATAGCTGCTTTTGAGTCTTCGGGTGTCAGTCATGCCAGCTTTTTTTTTTCTTCTTAGTAGTAGTTAATATTTTGATGTTTGCAGTGTGAATCTTCTTTCCTCCGTCAAAGACACATCACTTTTGATATTAATAAATTCTGGTGCTTTCTAGCTGATGAACAACCTTAGGTGTCTACTTCTGCCGGTTCATAGCTCCAGTCCTGGACAAGACAACTAGGCTGAAGGGGCAGCGGTGGCTCCAGGGTAGAATGCCTGAATGTGTCTGGGTGGCCCTCACAGAGTGGTGATAACTCTACCGTCTGCTAAAAGAGCCGCCATCTTCTCTTCAGTCCTTCATAAGCTCATTACGCTGTTATTGTCATTGAGCGTTACCACTCGTGAAAAGGCACCGGGTAACCCCAAGAACACGCAGCGTTATAAATTCCATCAAGTATTCGTTTGTTTTCGGCGTCGGTCGCAGGGAGGAGACATAATGGTGGCCACAGTCAACTATAGGCGCCACTTGCCTTCACGAAGGATGTCGTCATTCTTGCAAGGAACATCCAGCAAGCAACATTGATGCACTCTACTCCCGAGCCACCCACAAGGGTTGCTTTACGGCGACAGCTTCACGGGCAAAACTTTGCAGAGATTTCAGCAGGGGGATCGGTGGCCCAGTGATCTAACGCGTCTCAGCTCGGAGCGTGGAGCGAAAGCTTGAGCTGCAGAATCTCCTGGATTCGATGCCCACCCCCTGTCCGTTTTGGTCTGGCTAAGCCTCGTACCGGCACGCGTTCGTGTAATCGCTACTGCGTGAGACGCGTTAAAAACCCCACGTTAGCGGTTGCAGTGCACTGGCTAAATTTCTCATCTTTAGCCAAGAGACAGGTCACCCGTTGTGGCGTACTAGCACAAGGCTACATAATCATACAAGCAACATAATTTTTAGATTTTTGCTTTGTCTGTTGTCGTCGCCGCTACGGGAAAAAAACATTTCTCAACGGCCGTGCTGCACGGCTGTTTATTAATGCGAAAGCATTAACTGCCCCATAGAGCGAGCTGACGTCATCAGTTTGAAGCGCGAAAACAGCACCTAGTTTCCCCGGTCCCAAAGGGACGAAGTAAAGCTGATCGATTTCGCCTTCGGTTCTTTTGGCTGGCGCGCGTCCACGGCGCCATGGCCTCCGAGATCCCGAAGGCCATGACAGCGCTCGTCAGTTTCCACGACCGCTCACCCCATGGCGCTGCGTGTCCATCAGCGTGCGCGTTCAAGGTCACTAGGGGGGCACGCGCGCTGACCGGCGACGAAATGCACACAGCAGACGAAAAAGAGAGCGGACGATCGGCTTGTATAATATGCTTTCGCATTCAAGACTCATGAGAAATGCTTACGTGTACATCGAGCTTTTTTTGGCACTGTTTTGATATCCAGGGGGCGTGGCCAATGACGTCACGGACGTCAAAATAATATTAACTGTTACTTTGACGTAAACAACACGTTTTATTTTGGATGCCGCCGATTGCATTTCGAAATGTCGGTGGCTCGGCTTGTATATGGTCGAGTGCTCGGCGGTGTCCGCGCTGGTGTGTGTTGTCGACGTGCCCTGTGCTCGTCGCGTTATCAGGAACATCAAGGTAAGCGTTTTCCATTTTCAAATTTCTCCCGGTGCTGTCCGTCACTTCTGTTGTAAGTGAAGTTCACGTGTACCAGAGGCGACAGAGTCCAGCCGCAGTAATTATTCACGTATTTTCACCGCTTTGGATGATAGTCAGGCTGCTTGTGCACACTCATGGCAGTGGTCCGACGACAGGTGCCTGCCTAGGTTCTTGTGTACCAAGGTTTCATTTGGATACAAAACTTGAAAGTATAAAACAGAGAGGACGAGGACGGGAACAGGACATCTTTCACTTTTTTGAAAGATGTCCTGTTCCCGTCCTCGTCCTTTCTGTTTTATACTTTCAAGTTTTGTATCTATTAACCAACACGCTCGTTTTCAATTGTAGTTTCCTTTGGACTGCCTCGCATCTGAAGTTGCTCTCTGCAATGAGTGCAGATAGCAAGGAAGCCACCAGGTGGACGTGAGCACTACCAGACGCAAAGACGCAAGTAACGCACGACACTTGAGCTATAAAAAGAAATTCGGTGGCTGAATTCACTGAACCGCGTCTGCTAGAAGCACCAGCTAGTTGCTTTGGATGACGTGGCACGAACGCTTCTGCAACGGGGGCTCCAGTCATGGCAGTCAAGGCTAGAGCCATATACAGTGGCTCTATAGTCAAGGCTACCAGCTCGCCGCCTGCACGGCGTTCGAAGCTATTCTATGCAAGGGTGAGAATCCGTTGTATTGCACACATGAACAGTTCCAGAAAAATGCTTACAAAATTACAGCGTCTGGGCTCTGTGGCCGTCGTTATTGGAACGACCAGTTTGAAAATCTAACTGGTCAGACTGGTATTTGGACAGGTGAAACTGGTAATTGGACTAGCCTAACAGGAAATCAAACTGGTGCAACTGGTAGCCGGACTGATCTAACTGGTAACCATAATGATCTAACTGGTCACCGGATTGCCTTCTAACTGGTCACCAGATTGGCCTGACTGGTGACCATATTGGCCTAACTGGTCACCAGATTGGCAAAACTGGTCACCGATTGGCTGAACTGGTCAGCAGATTGGCCGAACTGGTTCAACTTGTAACCAGAATGACCAAACTGGTCACCAGATTGGCCTACTTGGTCCAACTGCTTACCAGTTTGACCCCTAGCTCTTTCTCACTTTATTTATTGACTTTCTCGCTTTGATTTATTGGCTTTTAAATAATTACGGCATCACCGAGCGTTTACTTTTTACTAAGAGATTCATCCCCTGAGCCGTTCAAAATACTCTGAGAGGTATGACATTGAACGAAAAAAAATCAACATGCTGGGAGTGTTTTTTTATTGCTTAGGCGGTCACCGAGAAATTCCGTACGTTCAAAACGACCAGTATAAAAGACGGAAACCCAGAGCTCGGAAGTAGTGATCGGGTTAGTGTGCTGTTGTATTCATGTTTTTGTATATGCCCTGTATGTGTACGTACTCAATGTATGTTCAGCTGATGCTTGTAGTAGGCGTATTGTGTCTACATTTGTGTATACTAAAAATGCCCGAAGCGCAGGGTGGTCTGAACAAAGGAACATATTTTTTGCCGAACTATAGCGTGACAAGCCAACCAGTGTGACCAGTTCAACCACCATGACCAGTTCAGCCATCATGACCAGTCAACCAGCATGACCAGCTCAACCGCCATGACCAGTCAACCAGTGTGGCCAGTTCGAACCACCCTGACCAGTTCAACCATTATGAAACTGGTCAAACTGGAGCAATAACCAAGTTTGAAACTGGTACCAGTTTGAACTGGTCTTTTCACACCTAACCTTCATTTCAAACAGGAGTGACGGACGGCACCGGGCGAACGAAATTTCAAAAACACTTACCTTGATGTTCCTGCTTGTCGGCAATTAATACGCAACAGAACGCGACGAGCGCAGGCGCGGCACGTTGACAACACACACCAGCGCGGACACCGTCCAGCCGCCAACGTCACACACGCTGACCGACCGACGTTTCAAAATGCAGTCGGCGGCATCCAAAAAATAGAACGTTGCTTACGTCAAAATAACAGTAAATATAATTTTTACGTCCTAAACGCCGAAATAACAAGTGTCATTATTTTGACCTCCGTGACGTTATTGGCCGCGCTCCTTTGGCGTCAAATCAGTGCCGAAAATACACACCCGTCCTGCACAGAGATAGTTTAACACCGGCATCTTACTATTGGCGTCTCCAGCAAAATCGATGCCATCTAGCGGCAACGCCTAGAAGCTCAAGAGAGGAGGTCGTTTCGACTCGGTCGTCTGCTATCGGTGTATAATTCTCCTAGGCAACATTAAAAAAAAAAATTGTTTTTAGTAGTTATTTTTATGCTTCCGCCCAGTCATTCCTACGCACTGTCTAGAAGAACGTTTTTACCGTAGGCAAACCGTTTCGCTTTTAAATGTAACACTAATTTTACGCTGCTGTGCAAGGCATTCGTGGTGGTCCGCGTGATGAACGACGAAAACGAGCTCTTTTCGTCCGCCATTTTGCCCGACCAGCCCTTCAGCCTGACGCTACAGTTCGCTGAAGTCGCGGATACTCAGGGACAGCTTTTCTTGGCAACGCAGTGGAATGTACAGGCGCGCGTTCCCTCTCCCATTTTTAGCGCTGAATAAAGCTGTGCGCGGGCTCTTCTCCTCTCCCTCGAACTGCCAAGAAATGTCCGCGAGTATTCGCAACTCCAGCGCGCCGCTCGCCCTCCCGCGGGCAAACGGAGAACCAGAGGAGCGGGGACGGCAGCGACGTGGAAATGGTGGCAAGGACTCTCGGCTTTCATGCGTTAAGCCGTTTTAACGAAAAAAGTGAGCGCCTTAAAATAGGAATTATTTTGCTCCGCCTTGCAACAGACTTGCACGAAGGACCAGGACGTCTAATTTGATTAGGGACTTTTCGTGTATCGCATACGCTGCGGATTTCTGGTCTTGTGCATGGCCGCCAGCTCAATACGTGCTCAACGTGACGGAAAACGCTCACGCTAATAATGAAGAACTCTATAGTACGGTCTACGGAAAGTCTATTCTTTGCCATAAGTAGGAGAAAACTCGTCGCGCAACGGTATGTCGAGCAATACAAATCTGGGATGGGTTCGCGCTTTAAGGCCGTTACAATGAACATGACCATTTATTCCAAGCCTTTAAAAAGACGAATACGTACTAGGTAATTACAAAGCAAATAAAGAAATGCTCGAAGCGTTTTAATCGCGTCCGTGTTAGCCAGCCGTTAGAGACGAGAGCTTAGAACGGGCAGTTTTGGCCCGAGGGACCCCAATGTTGCAAATAACATGGCACGAAAAATGTACGGTATATTAAAATATTTATTTCTGATAGAGCACTAAATAAAACCCCTAAACACGCCGATTATGTTAATAGGCAGGTCTTGTAGAGCGTACGACACCCCTAAACTCTAGTTGGACGTAGAGCGCACTGACGTTCAACCGGTGCTACCAACTTTTACGAGCGGCTTAATAGCCGAGCTGTGCAACTTATTAAAATAGCTAAAGTGTAAATGAGTGTAAAAAAAAAAAAAAGTAATCGGGGTTTTCTTCGCCTTACTGTAAAACCTTTGGTGTTTTTTTTTCCATTTTTCTGCACTCTTTGATGCGTACTTTAGCTGTTTTCATATCTTATCAAATACCGTGGAAGCCAATACTGGCAACTCCCGCGGAAAACGGGCGAAAAGTGATTGCAGCGCCCCTGGCGAGCTCGGAGTCTCCGCTGGCAGACAAATTCTCCGATATGCATTGGTTTTGCCTATCTCCGTGCGAGGTGACCAACGAAAAAAAAAATTGTCACGGACATTCGCTGCTTTGAAAGTTAAAAAATGGGTGCCAGCTCATGAGTGAAGGACATTCTCTTCGCGTGGGAAAGATGTTACAGCTTTCTGGGTGCAATTTCGGAGTTCTCCCGAAGAATACATTCTGTCACAACTTATGTAAGCCAAGCAAAACACGAATGTATGCCTTCGCGCTGTTTCGTGAAAAAGGGAAATGTACAAAAATTTCAGAACATAGCTTCGTTTCAACTTTATTGTTTTTATCAGTCGATTCGTTTTGTCGTTGCAATTCCCATTTCTCATGTGTGTATTGCTTATAACCGTTTCGTCGAACAGGCGAGCTGGCTAATCCCGTTAAGATCGTCTCCGGATGAAGAAGCAGATGTCAATTTCGAACCACGTACGTTACGGCGATGTGAGTATGCTCCGAAAGAAGGCGTTGTGCATATGCAAATCTGACGCGCTTATAGATTAACAAAAGCGGAGTCACGAAAAAAAGCAGACTTCTCGCGCTTGCAAAGAAAGAAGGGGAGAGCGTCGTAGCCCCGCGAAAAAAGATGATTTCAGTCACGTTATTTTCAGTGCACAAATTCCGATTGTTACCCTGCTGGAAAAAAGAGCTAAAATCTCATTCATTTTTGCACCAAAACCAATGTGCATGAATGAGCAACCCGATGAAACTTGAATGTGAAATTACCCTAGAAACCCACAAGCTGAATATAGAAAATGAGACAAAATGGATATGTATTTCGGTGCGAAAATGAATGTGCCCGAATGAGCAAAATAGGCAGACTGCCATGAGCGGTTATGTGCTTTGTAAGGAGGAGTCAATCGTTTTGAATGAGAATGCAGGATAGAAACGAATAAGCATCAATGAGCTGAAGAAGTGAAAATCCAGCAGCAGTAATGTGAAATTTTAAGGGATTTGTATGTTATGCTCATTGAATTTTTAATATTATTTCAATGGCAGAAAATATCGCGGGAAAGGTCTACTGTAGCTGCTTTTAATGCGGCAAGCACACTAAAAAACAGCTACAGCAAACCTACCTTGCGGCGAAGTGAGAGACACTCCAGTGTTGAAACACAAATTTTACTTTTCTGAAATAATACATGTGGAAACATAGGAAGCGTCGTCCTTGACAAGCATAGTTCCAGAGACACTTGGTCCGTTATTCTTGGTCAGTACCTAGCGCATGCCGCACGTCACGGCCCAGGTCACGTACGGCGCTGTTTATGTGTGTGGTCATTGCTGCCATCCGCTCAGCCAACACATCGCCACTGGCGCCATGTTCACGTAGCCAGGCCTCATAGCATGCTGGAAAAAAAAATGCAACTATTAAACTCTGCATAATTTTGACAGAGAAATTTGTAATATTTAAAACAACCTAAGTGTGGGGTAATTTTAATCTTGCAGTATGCAGATATCTTTTTATCTTTTATATAAATAAAAAAAATGAGATACGTCTATCCTTTAGTTTATATTTGTGGGCATGACGGACATATACGGCTGGATAACTGTCAGAATATGTCGACAAATTACAAATATATGGCAATTAACTTTTTATTTAGTGGTTTAATGAGGCATGTTGCAATCAGGCACGTAGCCAGGATTTTGTTTTTTTTTTGGGGGGGGGGGGGCGCCCATGACAAATTGATGCATGAGGGGGAGGGGGGAGAGGAGGTCCCAACAAAATGTAAGATTTCGGGGGGGGGGGGGGGGGTGGCGGGCCTCATGGGGGCCCCCCAAAATAGCCATTATTACAGGCTAACCCAATTTCGACAATTCGTAAAAATTTGTCGCTTTGAAACGTTCATTGTTAAAATTTTCTTTTTCGTTGCCTAACTCAAGAACTGCGCCCCAAAAAGAATCTGGGAAGTTTTGCCGATAATGGTCCATAGAAAAGTGACAGTTGTTTTAGTAATCTCGTCACTATCTGTACAGCATATCCTCGGTAGTTGCTCCACAGTCAACCACCAATTGCAACATGCCCATTAAACCATTTTTAACAGGTTTTGGTTAGTTAGTCAATACAGGTGATGGTTATCCACCCATGTAAAAATTATGGAAGAAAAAATGCCCTGCATATTTAAAAGATGCCTAGTTAAATGCATGCAACTTTTACCGAAAAAAATCTAGTGCACTACTGTGAAATATAATATACCAAACAGGTAAAAATAAATGTTCAAAAGGTTCGATACGCTGCACATTATTTCGTGTAGTATTTTTTTTAGTAACATCTCCAAAATCTCCATTTGTTGGTTATATTAATCTGTTGCTTCTACTTCACCTTGTAGTCAGGTCATGAGAAATATGGCGGCCCTGTTGAATGTAATCAGTTAGTGATAAAACGGAGTAAACACGGAAAGTGCCGTAAACTACAAGCTACTCACCTTCTAGCACATTAAGTTTTGTTGGAGTCAGTGGTGGCTTCGCAGCACCTCCATCATTTATCAAACGGTTAGACACCTTGCCACTCGTAGATCGATTTTTCAAAATATTGCGTCCCCATATGGCAGTAGCCAGACTCCTCACAAACTTGGACTCTTTTTTTTGTCGCTGACAGGCGACCCATTGGTCCAAACTAAGGGTAACACTGTCATTTACACAGACCTGCAAATGAAGCAGAGCAATGGATATAAATAAAAACAATAAAGGCTTCATTTGTAATCCTACGAAGCTGTTGGAAATGACAGCAAGTACACAAACTTCAAATTAACCGACAGTTCAAGCCAGCTTTATTTCATGACCACAATCTTAAAACATTGATCGGCCATTTTCTAATTGCAGATTTTAAGAGCAGATATAAATCTAGCTTGTGGCTTCTTTATAATTTTGTCCTTTCCAGTACTTTGTCAAAATATTAAAAAAAACTAAAACGGCAACCACAGGCTATAAAAAATTTGCTGCATCAGCTTACCGTTCTTCCGTCAGTTCTGAGTTTAACCTTCTTCACGAAATCATGCTTGGTGTTTGCATTTATTGAGCATCCTTGACGGCGCAAAAAAAAGAAGAAAAAAAAAACTAAGTTAAACATTTTAAATCACCATGGTTGTCTGAGGCTTTTTTTTTTTTTTTTGTAAAATTCATGCTTCAGAAGGAAAGAGATACGCACCTGCTCCAGTGCTCTCGAGCTTTGATTTGATGCTGTTTACACCCTCAAGAATCACATCCAGAATGTCTGTGTTTTTGGCCTCTCTTGTCCGCATCTTTTCAACGTCTTCCTTAAGTTCCCTTGTAGTTTTTTTTAGGGCAAGATACTTCTGATGGAGATCGTCGCACAACTTTTTGGGAACAACAGCACCATCATCCCCACTGTCTGTATCACTGTGGCTTTCATACCTGGCATGCTTGGCACTCCGAGCCTCTGGGAAAAGTGGGTTCTTGCGCTTCTGAGACAACTTTTCTGAAATTATTTGCTTCATCTTTGCTGTTGCTTCTCTTGTACGATTCAATTTCTGCTGAGCCTGCACTATTACAAGCACCATGTAGGGAAAGCTCCAGCATCTTTTGATTTCATTGGCGGTCACATTTTCATGGACACTCTTGTCAAAATAATAATTGTAATTTACACCAACATTTCTTTGCTCTGCCAAAGAAAAATTTAGTATATAATTGCAATAAGGATTTCTTCCAATACAATTTATGTTTTCAATCACAGCAAATTATATAGAAAATTAGTAATTTTTGTGTAAAACTCAATTATGCAGTTTCTTAAATGAAATTTTAGAAAGAAAATCAGGTGACGGATTGTCTGGGTGCTATTCTCACTGCATTACTGCACTCGGCTTATCAAGCCTTTGAGAAAAATCACTAGTATGTTGACTAATTAACGAAAATCTGTAAATTAACTGTTTGGGGCTATGTTGCAATTGTAGTTAAGCAAACCATTGTTAGGGTACTATCGAATTGAAACAATCTGCAAAAGGGCAACAAGCTTTTAGATATTCAGAGCTGAAATTACGCCTTTTGTGTCCTGGTTAAAAAACTGCATACTGGAAGGAGCGCGTTATGTTGCGCTCACATAGTCGTTTTGGTCTGGCTTGCGGGTTTTCAGTCAAGCCATGAAAGGCAAAATTTATATCTAAAAACTTGTAGCCTTTTATAAATTGTTCAAATTCGGCAAGGCTTTAATAATAGCTCCATTTAAAAGTGCAATTGCAACACTGTCTAATAAACGGTTCTAATGTCAACCAATCACAATAATTATAAGGACAACATCCACATACATACCTATTACCTTTTCGTTTTTCTTAATAGAGAAAAAGAACAAAAATTGTTATATATTGTTTTACACTAGACAAGATGTATCAGTCATACTTAACCTCATTTCTCTGAATATTACAGAAAATTTGTAATCTTCCAAGGTGTGCTTTAAAACTATATGAGGGAATAAATAATGAACTACAGTACCAAAAAACCGAACAGACTAAATGGAAAAACAATATAATTTTAATTTCAACCAGAAACCAGCTAAAATCAGTTTTTTTTGTGAAGTATCAATTTTCATACTTTAATCTGTATTTACCTGTTAAGGCCATTGTTTTATTCAGTTACCACTTGTAGTGACATTTAGTCTTTTATTTCATAGTGTAAATAATTTTTCGTGGCAACACAGCTCATTTGTACATATTATGTGAAGGCACCGGAGGGGTTCTATGATAGTTCTAAAAGGATAAGCAGCAACAAAATGCTTGCCATTTCGACCCGAAGAGCTGCTTGGTCGTCTTCCGAACTGCTGTGCTCAACAACCTGGTCAAGGACTTTAGGTAGAGGGATCCTCTTGCCCCTTTTGATCCTCTCCTCGATCGACGACTTTGAGTCTGCAAAGTGGTACACACAATAACATATAGGGCAAGTCTCCTCTGGTGTGCTGCTGTGAGGAACTGCATTGATATATATCACCTGCCAAAAGTAGTATTTGGGCTTTAAAACAGCCCGGCTCCCCTCCGTCTGGAGTCAACAAAGCATCATAGAGGTGACCCTTCTTGTAGTCATCCTCACTTCTCGGTTCAAAGTTTTTAATTGCAGATGTACTGATGATAGTCTTAGGTCGTGCTGTTCCAGTAAAATATTGCACATATGCGAAATTCATCTCTGTAAGAAAAGAATACAATCGAATTTAATGTGAAGTAATTGCATTATGTTCAAACAATTCCAACCGTCACATCCGCATGTGGTGGAGAAAATGTGGCTGATCAGCGAGGTAATTTATTACACAAACAAAGCACCAAGGCAAGACGAGACTACACCAATTCCCGATTAATATTTTTATATTAATTATACGCCTTAATCAACCGTGACAGCGTGCGGTCTAGAGAAGCTCGTTCTAACGAACGCAGTTTTAGCGAAAACAGTTTCTTCGAGCTGCCTCGAAAGTCGAAACTCGGTTTCGAGAAGATGGCAACCCCCGGCATGCTGCTTCCGATGTTTCTCTGATTCATCAGCCTAGCTTGCCGAGTACTCAGCGATGAACCCTTGTAGGTGCGTGCTCGAACTTGAGATTAACATTCCTTCGAGCGACAGCGAGCGCGCGTAGCATGGTTTGCTTGCAAGTGTAGGTTCCCGCCGTGCACACATCGCATTTCTCTAAACCACACTTCGATAAAACGTACTCTTTTCGCTTTAAATATAAATATGAAAGAAGAAGAAGAAGAAGAAGAAGACGAAAAAGAAGTGAGAGAAAAAAAACAAAAAAAAACGGGTGCAACGCAGTTTCGTTTCGCCGATCCAACCATGCGCCGGCGCAAACTGCTGCCTGAATCGCAGTTTCGTTTCGCCGATCCAACCATGCGCCGGCGCAAACTGCTGTTGAACTATATTTTACTGCAATAAAATCTTACCCTTTCTTCCTGTAGGAATAGATGTCCTGCGGTCTTTTCAGCAACTGAAAGCTCATACGCAGCAGGTGATGCAACCAAAACTAGCAGCTCAACTGGCTCAACCGGCTCAACTGAAACCGCGCGCCGACTCCGGCTGGCCATATGGCGAGACGGCCACCTAACACCCATGGCAAATACAGAAGAGAAGGATAACTCTAATAAAAAAAAATTAAGTTTCATTTTACAACTTAGAATTATATTTAGTTCAGGACGTTGTTATTAGCACTATAGACTGTAAAGATGGTTTTGTTTACAATGCGGTTTATGGCGCGATGGCGTGCGTTTCACGTTTTCGAAGTACCCACGTCCCCGGGTAGCCATCCCGCCAATCCCGCTACTACAGCCACTGTAACGCTACTAATCCCGCTTCCCGCTCTTCCCGCGTCATTCTTCGCCATTATTGCTCGTCAAACAAGCGCTACGCCGATTCTGCCGAAACTTCTGCATATGAAACGGCATTATGGCCAGTAAGCAGCGGCCGAAGAAATACCGACTTTACCTGGCACCTTTATCCGAAGAGAGCGTGCCGCGGTCGACGCGTGCTCGGTGGCATCAGACCGAAAAGGTAGGCTTTTATAGTCGGTGAACCGTAAGATTTTATTGACGAAATCTTTTTGTTGTCAGATTCTTGCTGAAGGCGCCCCGCCACCTTTGGAGCAGAAGTCAGCTGCGCAGTCTCACAATCGTGGAGATGTGAGTTTGTTCATTTCAAGCGTTACTTCATGCATGGTCTTTCGTTGTTAAATACCGTGTGCGTTCGCTCTCGTCTTTCTCTGTATCGAGCCACTGCTTCCAACCTCCGGCTCCTATGCTTTGCTGCAGTGCTTCTGGGCTGGGCTTTGTGAGCGAATATCTGACGAATAGGCGATGAAGCTCGCCCGACGGCGCTCGATGTGCGCGTGCGAACGCCCCGGGCCGAGCTTCGTCGCTTTTTGAACACAAATATGGCAAAACTTGCAATTTGCTTTTTGGACACAAATAGGGGAAAACTTGCACTTGTATGGGAAAACTTGCAACGAAAATCTGAAAGAAAATTCTATCATGTAAGACCCCACACGGCCCAAGACCTCAAAAGCCTTGACGATGTCAAGAACGACGACGACGACGTCTTGGAAATCGAAGACGTCTTGGGCGCCTTAGATTGAAATCTTTGGAATACGGACAAAAAATTTAAGAAAGCGCGAAATTGACGTGTGGTGCTACTCGATCGAACATATAATGTCCCTATAACCTAAACTCATACTGTGCGTGCCGTTCTTTCTCATGTTCAAGCTTTCTTAATTTTTGTCAAATACTGTAAAACGTTTTTATTGTGCGGCCTTTATATTTTTTAAATCCGGCTGGGACCATCATGGCTTGCACGTGACGTCAAAGCTGCTCTTCTTGCTGGTGGTGAAAGCGTGCCGTTAATGCACTGGAAGCTGCGCCGACTCGTTTCCGCCCGCTGGTAACGCTTGTTTTTTGGTTGTAGAATTAGTACTGTAAAGGCTATGCACCACCACCAGAGAGGATCAAATTATGTTGGTGCAGGCTATTCCAGGGGTCCAAATCCAGGCCTTTAAAGGTTGGATTATTTGTGTACGGTTAAACTAAGTTCTAAATCTTTTCTAATTAGTGAAATTGTGGCTCGCGAGCAGCAATAGTTTTACAGCATCTGTTTCATGGGGTCCATCTTGTGGGGAAGGAGGATGCCCTGCAAGAGCACGTTCTTCAGAGCATGAAACATAATTTTCACGTGCCTTCCCGCTCGACTGCTGGTTTAATCTACAGGGTGAAACAAGGAGACGGCAGGCTCTTTAAATCGACCGGAAAACTCGGTTTCTTAACCTATCGCGCTACGACTTTGTGCAGCGTTGCCCACAGATGGTGCATTTCTTTTGTAAAATTTGCAAAGAGCGAACTTACCTGAGGAAGAAGTAAAGAAAGAAAAAGGCTTAGCTCCTATGGAAACGCAGCGAAGCCACCGGTCTTCAAACACGGCGCCGTTGCGCACGGGAGACAAGAGATGGCGCAAGCGGTCGCGACGCCAACTGCCTCCAACGAACGAGCAGACGACGCCGAGAGCCGGCGTATTTAGCAGACAAGGAACTGCAGTTCCTCGTTGTTACCGCGTCTGTTTTTGTTTCTGCGACTGTCGCCGCCTGCGGAACGAGTGTTGCTTTTGAGTCGAAAAGATTGTCTGCTGACGCTGGCACTCGGCGCCGTATGCTCGTTCGTTGACGGCGTTCGTTGCGCCATCTCTTGTGTCCCGTGCGAAACGGCGCCGTGTTGTTTGAAGACCGGTGGCGTCGCTGAGTTTCCGTCGGAGCTAAGCCTTTTTCTTTCTTTACTTTTTCCTCAGGTAAGTTCGCTCTTTGCAAATTTTACAAAAAAGAAAAAAAAAACCATCTGTGGGCAACGCTGCACAAAGTCGTAGCGCGATAGGTTAAGAAACCGAATTTTCCGGTCGATTTAAAGAGCCTGCCGTCTCCTTGTTTCACCCTGTAGATATGAGTATGTCTGCTCCTGAGCACTGAAATGGGTCTCATGTACGGTTGGTTGGT